TAGTGGCCTAGATCAGGGAGGCTCATGGGGGGACTTCCAAGTCACATGAGCAACAAGATGGAGGACTAGATATTTTTTCTGATCTGCATGACTTCTCAAACTTCTCTAAAAGAGAAATTATGCACTAAAGATAAAGTTAACTCTAGCTGGTTCCATTGTCTAGGACACCTAGAATCCAAAAGAAGGCCAAACCCCCCCCCACAAAAACCCATGAAGTGATGCTAACTGACCCTTAGATCACTCAGCAACCATCTTATATCTCCCATACTATCAGCAGCAAAGATGAACTAACAGTCCCAAGGACCTGACACAGGCATACTATAAAATTATACCCCTAGACCCCAGTTTGCCTCCTCTCTCTTTCCAGTGTTATAGAGACTCCAGCTCTAGGTGACAGAAGCTTGCCTGGGCTGAAAGAGACAGCTAGTGTAGCCATAGCCCTTCAGGAACTAAAGCTTGTTGTGGGCGACAACCCCATAGTGCCAGTGTGGCAGACCTCTGAACTGCCAGTGCCAGGCCAGAAAACTAAGAACAGTACAAGAAACCAGGACAGGGCACTGTATGTGATTGGGCTGTGCAGCACTCCACTAAGTCTCAGGGAAAGAACATAGCATCCAGCTGAGACCAGTTCTGACAACTCAAAAGTCATTTGGGGGAGAGACCTAGGCTGATAAACAGCAAACTGCCCGGTGTAAAAGGAGGCTGAAACGCTTTAAGATCTAGTCCCCCAGGAAACCACTATCAGAAGGAAGACAGAAAATGAATAGGAGAAAGTCGGGGGAAAAATTTTTTAAAGATTGAAATTACCAAAGACCTCAGGAACAAGAAATCTCAAAGACCTTGAACACAAGCAGATAAATCATCAGGGAAAATATTAACAGCAGAAGCAAATATGGTCTCCAGATCTAGTAAACGAGTTCAGGCATCTATGAATAAATAATGAAAAACAAAATAAAATGATACAGCACTTGGCGAAACAGAGGACTCTGTGAAATTTGAGAACACAGAACCACAACACACTGTTCCTGAGTGGTTCAAAAGAGAAATGAGAATTATGAGGGCAGATTTAATGCCCTGCACAGCAAAAATAAAGAACAGAATAGAAAAACTTAAATTTGTGATAGCAAGTCTTGCCAAGGATAATCTAGAAGTGAAGCAAAAAACAATAACATTAAAAGAAAATATCCTCATAATGGGAAACTTGGTGGCACAGTGAATAAGTGCCAGGTCTGGAGTCAGGAAGACCAAATCTGGCCTCAGACTCTTACTAGCTGGGTGACCCTGGGCAAGTCATTTAACCCTGTTTGCCTCAGTTCCTCACCTGTAAAATGAGCTGGAGAAGGAAATGGCAAACCACTCCAGTGTCTGTGTCAAGAAAACCCTAAACAGTGTCACAACAAGTCAGAAATGACTGAAATGACTGAACAACAACAATCCAAGAAAATATACTGGTCTGGAAGACAGGATGGATAGAGACAACCCAGGTCTCCCAGAAAAACATGACAAAAAAAAAAAACTTGAACAACATAATGCAAGAAACAATACAAGAGAAATACCCAAAACTTTTTAAACACAGAAAATTAAACACCAATTAAAAGAATTCAAAGATCACTTTCAAAAAAAATCCAAGGCAGCAAACTGCAAAATACATAGAGTTAAATTTAACAATTCAATTCAGAAACAACAACTTGTACAAGCAAATTGGAGAAAGACCTTCAAATACAAAGGAAAAAAAATTCAAAATAACACAAGACCATTCTGCAGCCATTGGAAAATGTAAAAAGGTATGAGCAATGGAACTCAGGATGCAGCCCAGGATGACCTACCCTGCAAATCTGAGCTCAAACATAAACAAAAAAAAAGACAAACAGAAACCCAGTGTTTGATAAAGCCAAAACCATAAATTACCTACTAAAAAAAAAATCCTTGCTTGATAAAATGTGCTAGGCAAACTAGAAAACAGTCTGGGGGAAATTAGTCTTAGACCAATACCTTCTACCATAGTCTACAATACATTCTAAATGAATATGCAACCTTAATATTAAAGATCATAATTTAAAAATTTAGAAGAAAAACAGACCATAGTTATGTATAGGAAACACAGTCTTAGCCAAACAAGAGATAGAGGCAATTACCAAAGATAAAATAGATAATTTTGATTTCTTGAAACTGAAAAGCTTATGCAAAGACAAAATTAACACACCAAGGAAAAGAAAGAAAGTGACTAAATGTGAAACATTTTGTTTTGTATCAAATTTTTTTATAAGGATTTGGTATCCAAAATATATTAACTACATAATTATGACTAATAACCATTCTCTAATAGATATGTGGTCAAAGGATATGAAGTTCTCAAAAGAAGAATTGCAAAGTATTGACAACCACATGAAAGGAGGTACCAGAAAACTAATGAGAGAAATGACAAATCAAAACAACTCTGAGGTTTTACCTCACACCCTGAAAATTGTCAAAGAAGACAAAAAATGGCAATAGTCAATGTTGGAGGAGCTGGGAAACGACAGGCACACCAATACAATGGTGTTGGTGGAGCTGTGAAATAGCCCAACCATTTTGGAAAGTAATTTGGAATTGTGCAAATAAAGTAACTAAAGTGTCCATACTCCTTAAATCAGAGACTTCATTAATGGGCTTATGCCTCAAGGAAGCCATCAATAAGAAGTCCTCATATACTCTAAAATATTTATAGGAATATTTTGGGAGAGTTAAGAATTGGCAACAAAGTAGATGTCCATCAATTGGGGAAAGGCTAAACAAACTGTGATACATGAATGTAACAGAATATTACTGTGTCGTAAGAAATTACGTGTATGATGAATATAGAGAAGCACAGAAAAATCTATATGAACTGATGTAGAATGAACTGGAAAAACAATAGACACAGTAACCACAACAACATATATGGTAAAATGGAAAAACTTCACACCAAAAATCAAAAGTAAATGTAATTTAAAGATCAAGCAGGATTCAAACGATGAAAAATGAGAGGACACACCCAACCTACCTATTTGTGGAGTTCTGAGGTCCACAGATATTACATACAGAACATGTTTAAAGACTTTCATATTTTTTATCAGTTGTGGTAGGAGTTTTTCTCTGTAAAAAATACTGTTTCTTAGAAGGGAACGCTCTCTAGGAAGGGTTAAGGGAGGCATACTTGGGATAACTCAGATGATATAATAAACAAAAGATATTAATAAAAATTTATTTTAAAATGATATCACAGGACTAAAACTCAACCCCATCCACCCCCCAAAAAAAAATCTGACTAATCTAGAGGCAGCGGGGTGGCACAGTAAGATCAACTCAGGGCTTAGAATCAGACTTCAGTTGCAATCTTCCCTGGGACACTTAATAGCCATTTGACAGTAAGTCATTTAACTTCTCTGTGCCTCAGTTTTCTCATCTATAAAATAAAAACACTGGACTTAATGGCTTCTAAGGTCCCTTTCAGCTCTAAATCTACAGTTCCATAATTAATTATTCTCCTTCTTACTATCAAACTACTGGAACATGTGGTCTCTACCTGATGCTTTCACTTTGTATCCATCCATTCCCTTCTGAGCCTTCTTCAGTCTGGCTCCTGGAATCATCAATCTAATGACATTTCTTTCAAAAGCTTGCCAAAGCCCTCCTTATCAAATATGATAATTCTTTCGCAGTCTAACCTACCTTATATTTCTGCAGCATTTAACACTTGACTATGCACTCTATTTATAATATCTCTTTTCTTCTGGCTATTCTTTCCTGGGTTTCTTCTCCTCCTCAACTATATTATAAACTATATTATAAAAGATATGAATCCCACAGTTCTTACTAGAAGCAGCTAGGTAGCACAACAGATAGACACTGGGCCTGAAGTCAAGAAGACAAAGGTTCAAATTTAGCCTCAGGTATTTACTAGCTGAGTAACCTTGAGCAAGTCACTTAACTTTTGTCTGCCTCAGTTTCCTCAACTATAAAATTTGGATAATAGCAGCACCTACTTCGCAGGGTTGTGATGAGGAGCAAATAAGATAACACTTGTAAAGTGCTTGGCATAGTGACTGGCACATAGTAGGTGCTATTGCATAAATGCTTATTTCCTTCCCTTCTTATTACAGTACTGGACACATGGCATTCAATAAATACTGATTAATTTAGGATGTACGTACAATGAACTAGCTTGTTACTACCTTTCTTACGCTCCTACTGGAAATCTGACGGCTAGGATATGGAATTGGCTGTTTGAATACAGTTATTTTGCTCCAAAAGTGCTAAGTGCTCAAAAACTGAAGTGCTCAATTTTAAAAAGTCCTAAGTTGAATTCCAAGGCTCCAATGCTTATACTGAGACCAAAGATTTGGGTATCTGAAGCAATCTTTTTAGTATAGTAGATGCACACAAAAAAGTTCACATTCTCCTGAAAATGTTTTTTGTTGGAAGTTTATAGATGAAAATTTTTTTTAATTTAACCAAAATACTTGAATTAATGGCACCAATTAGACACAGCCTTATGAAAATGTTCCTTAGTTATTTTAGTGTCCTTAAGTATGTTTGCAAAGTTTCAGATTCAGTGTCACAGATATCTAGTATAACTTCAATATTTGTTTCCCCATTCCTTCGGCAGAATCTAAGCAGACCTAATACTCTGAAAATAACAGTGACATTGACAAAGATAACGTATAGGGGCAGTTAGGTGGCACAGTGGATAGGGCTCCAGACTTGGAGTCAGGAGGGCCTGAGTTCAAATCCGAACTCAGACACAAAAATTCACTAGCTGTGTGACCCTGGGCAAGTCATTTAACTCCATCACCCCATTAAAACACTTAACCCCACTGCCCCATTAAAAACAAAACAAAAACAAAGGTAACATATATTAATGATCTAAAACGTTATCATTTTACTAATAAGTAACTTTAAATCTAATTCTAAAACTAACAAACCCTGATTTTTTTAAACACGGCAAATCTAGATAAATTTCATTAGTTCGCAGAACTTACCCTGGTACGTCAATTGTAGATATTTAGATGGTATATTTAAGAGCTGTGAAAAGTGTTCCTTGAGTTGTTTTGAGAAGACACCAATTTTAAAACTAATTGTAACTATCTGGTCCACAGGAATAAGCGTAACTTTTACTGCAGAAAGAGGAAAAAAATAATTTATCCCTTCATACCAGAGGCCAGCAAAGTTCAGTCCATTTCAAAGATGGCACACAGGGAATGATTTTATCCAAGTTGCTATTGCCATCCCCTCTATCTCTGCCACTTAGGAGAACTGCCACCAGTTTTCACTGACTCTGAGAATTGACATAAGACATCCACTCATCCCTGAAACTCCATGTTCGCAAAAATGTTCACCTCGTCTCTTCCATTCCTAACACAACAGAAAGAAAAGGTGTAAGAACTGTTAGGGTAAAGATTGCCAACTCCTGATTTATATGATTTATCCAGTTACAGGAAATATTCTTTAAATGAAGCATTTAGGAGAATCAGCACTGGAAACAGAGTTACAAGGACAGGGGAGGGAGGAGGTAACCCTACATATGAAAAGAATTCCAAAAGGAGAGGCAAATACACAGTGCATTAAATCTAGGTACTTATTCTCCCAATGGAAAAAGTCATCCCTTAAAAGCATCTGTTGTTACCTTCATCCTCCTCTTCCCTTAAAATATCAGTCTAATTTAAAATTCCTTTATGCCTGTAGTTCCAAATATGTCAGTGAGTCTTAAAGTGAGTATCTTGAAAGTCTAAAAAGAGAAAACTTCTTCATGAAAGTGAATATTTTATTGATAAAATTAATCACAAGCATTTATATAGCACTAAAAGGTTTGTTAAGCATTTTATATGTTATTTCATTTGATCTTCACAAAAACCCTGAGAAATACAGGCGATTATCATCTCCATTTTACAAATAAGGAAACCGAAGCTGCACAAGCTAAGTAGTGGCACACACCTAATAAGCATCTTGAGGTGGGATTTAAATTGAGGTCTTTTGTACTCTAGATCCAGCACTCAATCCATTTATGCCATGTAGCTGCCTAATAATGATGATAGATTGATAGATAGACAGATAGATAGATAGATAGATAGATAGATAGATAGATAGATAGATAGATAGACAGATAGATAGATGCATGCCACACTACTCAACAGAGCCTGAAGGGAAGGTTTTTCTTCTAATAAATTAGAAAAAGACAAGATTTAATGAATGACTTTACTTATAAACTCTAGAAAGGAATGAAAACACTTTACATAACAAATTCTTGCAAGGTTTACTTCTGTTGTTGGGTTGGTTTTTTTTAACCATATAGGAAGATTAGTAAATGAGTTTGGTTTTATCTTTCAAGGCTTTAGAAAACAGCAGAATGGCACTTTAATAATTATAGGCAAATAAAAGTGATTTTCTCCAAGCCCCTCCCCTCCCCAAGTATTAAGGGGCTGCTAGGTGGCACAGTGGACAGAGTGCTGGGCTGGAGTGAAGAACAGCTGAGTTCAAAGTCAGCCTCAAACACTTACTAGTTTTATGACCCTGGGCAAGTTACTTAATCACTATCTGCTTCAATTTCTTATCTATAAAACTGGGATAACTATAGCACCAACCTCCCAAGGTTGCTGTGAGGATCAAATGAGACAATATTTGTAAAGTGCTAGCACAGTGCCTGGCACATAGCGGGTACTATATAAATGCTAGCTATTATTTTTAATATTATTATTATTACTACATGGTAATATTTTCAACATTTTTTAAATGTTCCTCAAAATAAAATTTGAAGAATGAAGGGGCTGTTTTTAGCTTTTAAGAGTTTGTTTAAACATATGTTTGTTAAACTAGAGATCAGAGTCAATGAATCTATTTGCATTTCTGTGATATTCCCAAGAAGAAGGGATCTGAAACGTGATTTTCCTTTTAACACCTCTCCATGTGCTTTTGAAGCATTTTGTTTGTTTGATGGCTGCTTAGGTTTTGGAGACTTTGGGAATATTGCTACAAAAGTGTAAGGGCTTAGCTGAAGTATTTTGAAATATCAAGAAATTATTCTGGTGGAGGACAGGCAGCAACCCAGCTCAACTGTCTCAATACTTCCTTCCATACAACTTTAAAATAACTCCCCAAGTTAAATTTTGGAGTGGCAGAGCCAGTGAGAGGTCAGAGTGAGATATTTTTCCAGCCTAAGACAATTTAGGAGATTGGCAAGTGAAGTCTATAAAACCTGGGTTAGCACAGTGCCTTGGAGGCAGCTGCGACCCCTACAATCACAGTGGCAGTGGCAGCAGCTTTAAGAACTCTCAGACTAAACACAGCAGAGGGGTTGGACAAGTGGTCAAAAAGAGATGACAGGGAACACTGGGTGCAACGGCACTGATTGGCAACTTTATTGCCCACAAATATTTCTACATTGCAATTCCAGGTCAGAAAGGAGGTCTTGTGGTCAGTCACAAGAACGCAGAGGCTCTGGTCTCAGTACAAAGACAGAGAGGAGCACTAATGCTTGAGAGTAGAGGAGAGCAATCAATCATAAGGTTAATCCCAAGAGAGATTACGGAAAGATAGGTTAAAAGTGGTCAGACATGTTCCCCAGAACAGAAAAGGAAAGGTGAGTTAAATGGAAATTAATCCAATAGATAAGAGAAAAGAATTCAGTCTTGCTATCACTTTTAAATCTTAGTGTTAAAAGAAGTTTGGAGATTTTCTGGTGGAAGTATAATGAATGGAAACATAAGGTTTTTCATTAAGGATGACTAGTGAGTTCCCTACCTAAGTCTTCATACTGAAGATTAATTTAGTCTAACACTTATAATACCTCTCTCTGGGGAGCTTAAAGAGCTTTTCAGACATTATCTAATTAATTCTTTTGATACTCTTGTGAGGTGAGTAATACTATCATCATTTATCAGATAATGAAATTGGCACACAATAATATAACTGGTTTTGCTGCCAACACACTATGAAATAGGTAAAATCTAAGCTTCTTTGCTTCCGAATTGTTGCAAAAACTAAGAGTCTGCACTGCTTCAAGTAAAAGATCTTCCATAACACAAAGGATCATAACATTTAGCGCTAAAAGGGACAGTAAAGATCATCTAGCCCAAGTACAGATGAGGATACTGAAACCCAGAGAAAGGAAATGACTTGCCCAAAGCCAATCAATTCCTAGAAAGTGGTAAAGCCCGTACCCAACCCACGTTCAGTGCTCTTTTTACTCTATCAGCTAAAACGACTTGCTTGCTTAGCTAGCATATAAAATAATCCCAATGGCGGCTCGATAATTTGTTCAACAAACCTCAAGATTTTTAAACAAATCAACCTGTCCCGAAGCATTGACAATTACTTTGAACTTCAAGAACGAATGTAACCTTCATTCGATTATGATAGACTCTTAAAATTACCAGGGAGCATTACCGCTGGTGGTCACCCCAGGCTTAGTCAATAATTGGGCTACAGGAGTGGGAGGGGAGGGGAGGGAGGGCACAAAAAATAGGTGAAGCCGTGAATTGTAAATGAAGCAATACCTGTGGCTGAAAGGTCTGCCACTGTCGTCTTCAAAGCCTCCTTTATGGCCTTTATTTTGGTTAAATAAGATGAGGGGAAATCAGTCTGTGATAACTGTCTTCCTATTGGCCTGGCCGGTTTTGCACTCCACCAGGGCGGCTTTCCCCTCTTTTCGGGTTGCCCATCCTCTGTACTCTGTGAGGTCTCCCACATTCTCACTTTTTTGCCCATTGTGTTGGGGGCTTCTAGTGATTTCTCCCTCTCCATACTTTCCTCCTGGGGGCCGCTGCCATACTCTTGCTTCTCCGGGCCCCCCTGCTCTTTGAAATCCAGCTGGGTCCCTTCCCTGGACTCTCCCGTGGTCTGTCCCTCGTTCTCGTCTGTCACCACATCATTCACTGTTTCAGTTGCCTCAGTCTCTCTTGTATCAGCTAATTCTACTCCAATTTGATCATTAATCTCCTCTTCTTGATCCATTGTTTTCCTGAATTTAAAAGATTAAATAAATTATTACATAATTATAAGAGTGTCTAGACATAATAGCATTATGATCACCAATATATTTTTCTTAGAATTAACTTGCTCTCACCAAGGAATTTTCATAATTTCACACTATCACTTATAAAAATGTTCAGTCATATGCAGAAGAAATGTAAAAGTAATGAGCAAGACCAGAAAAGCAATATGCAAATCATAAATAAATAGGAACTGCTAGATGCTAATCTAGCTTGATAGAGACAATTATAATTAGGGAAACCTTCCTAATCCCTTCTCAATTCAGTCAGCAACAAACTCTTAAGCAGAGTTTTTGGACAGCAAAATCCAAAAGCCTGCTTCCTCAGCATCTGAGGAACCAAAATTCTGGATCAACAATTTTCATAGGACTTTTCTAGTTTAGTTATACCAACATTAGTAGACAGAACATTTGCAGTAATTATGGGGGTTTTTCCCCCCAGCAGTGATGATATATTTTCACTGATTTATTTAGTTCCCTGGTCATGCATTTTATAAGGCAACTATCCAGAAGCTTTATTAACATTTCTACTCTGTTTAATTTAAATACAAAAAAAGTCATAAGATAATGGAAATCTCTTAATATACATTAATTTTAATATTAAACTCCCTCTCTTATTTCAGGGGAGAATTGAGTGGACAAATCCTATACTTGCTCTAACATATGATGTTATGTTTCCTTCCAGCATAGACAACATGAAAAGGTTAGGTTAGGCCCATGAAGGGGAAATTGGACTACTCAGTTTCTCTTAACTCCAATTTTTTTTCTTTTTAAATGTATTACTGATATTCTTTCTTTTTTTGTATATCAGTGACACCTCGCTCCCATGCCCTCCAAAACCCTGCTTTATAAGAAAGAAAGTACAGTCTAGCAAAATAAATCATTGATCATGTCTGAAAATGTGTCTGTACTCATCAGAGTTCTGCAGTCTTTAAAGGTTGTTATCCTTTACTACATCATTATAGTCATCTTGAGAGTATACCTCCTGGTGTTATTTGGCTCTATATTAGTTCATTTCTAATTCTCACCCCCATCTCCAACCCTAGTTGCTAGTGTCCTACTTCCCAAAACCACCCTGTTAATTTTGCATCTATTCTGTATGTACTTATATATGAACACACTGTTTCACTTGCTAGAATTCCAATTCCCTGAGCACGTGGGCTGTTTAGCTTTTCTCTTTATATCCTCATTATTTAACACGACTACTATCATATAATAGGCACGTATTAAATGCCTGTTGATACTTGAGGGTCATATTACCAGGAAAACAACAGATTGGTCACTTTTTCCAGAGAGGAAGAAGGAGGAGAAGGAAGAAAATTATGCACTAAATGTAGAGCAAGTATACTTGAATCCACTGGAAAAGAAAATTCCTTCAAGGTAAATCTGAATTACAACATTGGAGTATTCTAATCTTTAAACAGCTCATTCAACACTCCTCCCCGATCTGCTACCACACACTATAAAATTAATCCCAAAACATAAATTTATCTAGCAAATAACTCACTACTTAGCAAAAATTGCTAGGAAAACTAGAAATCAGTCTGGCAGCAATTAAATTTGATACATTTTAAATTATATTCCACAATAAATTCAAAATGGATATAAGACTTAATATTAATGGTTACAAGTACCTTTTATAGCCATTGGCTAAGGGTGAATTCTTAACCAGAGATTAAGTGTAATTTCAAAACATAAAATAGATCACTGAAAAGCTTTTATATGAACAAAATCAATGCAACTAGGAAAAGAAAAGAAATTAATGACTGGGGAAAAAATTTTATAGCAAAGATTTCTGATAAGAGTATCAGATCCAAGATATACAGGCAACTATCAGAGACATATGAAAGATCACTGTTCCCTAGTAGATAATGGTTAAAACATGAATAAAGAATTACCAAACAAGCTATTATAACCATATAAACTATTGCTCCAAATTACTAATAAGAGAAATGCAAATCTAAGCAACCATGGTTTTGCCTCCTACTCAGCAAATTAGCAAAGATGGCAATAGATGGAAATAATATTGAATGGGCTACAAAATGACAGGTACACTTATTCACTGTTGGTAGAGTTATAAATCAGTCCAACCAATCTGGAAAGAAATTTGGAACTATGCTAAGAGAGTTTCTAAAATGTCCATATTCTAACCCTGAGATTCCATCACTAGGTATATACACCAAGGTAGTATGACAAAAAGAAAAATCCCATTTACACCAAAATATTTTCTAGCACCACTTTTTATAATAGCAAAGAACTGGAAACAGAGAAGATCTCATTGCTTAGGGAATGAATGGCTAAACAATTTGTAGTACATGAATATAATGGAATATTACTGTGAAACAACTAGGATGAATACGGAAAAGCACAGAAAGAATTATGATGCAGAGTAAAATAAACAAAGCCTAGAAATTATGCGCAACAACTACAACAAGGTATTGCAATGAATAACAACAACAACAAAATCAAGTCAATGATCCAAAGTTACAAAGAATAAGCATAATCTCAAAGAAGAGAAATGAGAAGATAATCCCAACTCTACTCTTACAGAAGCAGGAGGTCTAGAGATATAGAACATTGCATATACCTTCAGACTTGTTTCGTAAATTGACTGGCTTCATTAATTTTTTTCTTTTTTCTTTAAAAATATTTGTTATGTTGCATAATCTGCATTGATTAATAACTAATCAGCTTCCTTAAGTATAACTCTTCTAAAATTTCTGGCAATAATAATATGGTTCAGAATTGTCACTATAAACCCCTCCATGTCTACAAATAAATAGACATGACCCACCCCCTTGTTTGAAGGTTCTTCTTTGATCTGTTGTTGGTTGGGTTCATGTGGATGTATTATTTTGATGCTGACATTCTTTTTGATTGTTGGGAACCTTTCTTAAATGCATTATGCTGAACTACTGAAACAAGTTAGATCCCATTTTTAAAAAAAAAAATTAATAAAAATTAAAATATTCATTATATGAAATGGCTCTTCAAGAGACGAGAGGTATGATGGGGAAAATTCCAGTGATGTAAAAAAAAAAAAAAGAAATGTCAATATAATTTTTTTAAAAAGAAAGGGAATACCATGAAATTATAATGACTAAGCTAAGTCTCAAAGAAGAGCTTTAGGAAGATACTTCTTTCTCTTCTTTGAAGAGGTGAGGAACTATAGGTGTGGAACACTAGAAATGTAAGAGTCTTTCAATATATTTGTTCATTTTATTGAATTTTTTCCTCTTTAAAAAAAAATTCTATGTGATAAGGATGGTCTCTTAGTGGGCAGAGGGAAATGATGCATTGGGAAATGTTGGTGATATAAAAACAAAAGATATCAATCAAAATCAACTTTGAAAAGATATGTTGATACAAATGTTCCCAAGTTTCTCTGAATTCTCCATATTCCTCATTTCTTCAAGGGCAATAATATTCTATTACTAAAAAGTGAATATAGTAAGGAAGACATTAGAAAGGAGGAGGGACAACCTACTTCCCATAGCTACAGTATCGTAAAAGACGGAGGAGGGAGTAGGGGAAGGGGGAATCACATGAGATCAATTTTATCTGAACTTGGCAAAGGAGAGTCAAATATGCACACACATATGCATACATACACACACAGTGTTTAATATATAAGAACAAGGAGAGGGAAGAGGAGGGCCATCCAAAGGGGAAAAACCACCAATAGGGGAACCTTTCCACTTCCCTTATCTTTAACCATCCCCCATGACCCTAGCAGGAAAAGCAATATTGCTATCTATATCACTCAAATGATTTGGTAGTCACTAACTATTCCAAGTGAGAAAAAAGACCACTGAGTCTTATCATCTACTCTGTAACTAAGCCCTTTGGACCCTTGAGTACTGTCATCTGTCTTGTTAGAACATCCTGGGCTTTGCCATTTACCCAATGCTAAAGCTTTAGAACTTCTGTATGTCCATATACATATCCTCAGTCTCAGGGATTCCACTAGTAGGCACGTACCTCAAGGAAATCAACAATAAAAGGAAGGCCCCATATATGTGAAAATATCCATAGCGCCACATTTTATAGTGAGCAATGAAATGGAAACAAAGTCGATGCCCATCTGTTAGGGAATACATAAATGATTTGTGCTTCATGAATTTAATGGAATATCACCTTCTCAACATACTTCCAAACTGCTTTCTAGAACAACTGGACCAATTAAAAGTTCCACCAGCAATGTGTAAGTATCCCTGTGTTTATGTAGTCCTTCCAACGTTGACCACTTCCATTTATTCCCATCTTTGTTAGTTTTCTCGGTGAGAAGCACAACCTCAAAATCAGTATGATTGGCATTTCTCTTATTATTAGTGATTAAAACCAATGTTTCATTTGGTTATAATAGCTAATAATTCTTTAAAGAATTATTTGGTCATATCCTTTCACTACTTATCTACTGTAGATGACTCTTAGTTTTATACCCCCCCCCCAACACACACACGGAGTCCCAAAAGTCTTAGTGAAATTTTAAGCTTTAATACCTTGGATTTCAGACCATTATCAGAGATATTCTACACAAAGATTTTTTTTTCCACTTAATGGCTTTCTTTCATATCCTACCTCCATTCATTTTGCTCAGGCAAAAATGTTTCAATTTAATTTAACTGATAATTATCTTTTTTTTTGTTGTTGTTTTCACCTCTCTTATTTGAACAAGAATCCTTCCCTCCACCTCTGCCTAGCCATAGCTATAAAATGTAACTGATCTAATTCTCATCTAACATTTTCATGCTGTTGCCTTTAGTAGACTGTGTATTCAAACACTATTGTGGCAGATGGTGTAAAACATTGGTTGAACATTTATTACTGCCAAATTGCTTTCCAGTTTTCCCAGCAGTTATCATCAAATACATCTTTTATGTTCTTTGTTTTATAGAACAAAATATTACTGAGTTAAATTGCTGTCTAGTAAGCTCCATTGATCTATTTTTCTTTTTTTTAATCAATACCAACTAATTTTGATCATTACATATGGTGATTTAAAAAACAAACAAACAAACATAAGTCTCAATCATGGTATTAGACAAAAGAAAAATTCAAAACACCAAGAGAGATAAAAAGGGAAACTACATTATGCTTATAGACAAGGAACCAATATCAGTACTCACATATGTTCATCAAATGGCACAGCATCTAAATTCAAAAAGGAAAAGTAAGCTCACTTATAAAAATATATATAAAGTATAGGAATCTTTAATGTTACTCACTCAGAGCTGGACAAATCTAAGAGAAAAATAACCAAAAAGGAAAATATAGAACCGAACAGAGGAGTTACAGCTGAAAATTTTGTGGCAGCTTCTTCATGTTCAGCTAATTTCTCAGCACCATATTGTATTTTTACAAAAAGAGGCCTTTGTGCTAAGGCAAAAACAAATTATGTATAATTTTTTTAAGCAGAAATATTAAACAAATGTTTTATAGACCATAATAGAATAAAAATAGCAACCAGGAAACAAAAAGCAAAAGATAAAGAGCCAAATAGAGACTTGATAATGAGCAGGCCAAATAATAAACTGCAGAAACAATTTATATTTACGTGAAATACAATAATAATGAAGACACAACATACTAAATGTCTGGAAACCAGCTAAAGTAGCCCTCAGAAGAAAAAAATTATCTCTGAAAACATATTAACAAAATAGAGAAATAAGGGAGTGGATATATAAATTTAAAAATGTAAACATACTAAATATCTAAATTAACAAGACATGAAATGGAAATGTCAAACAACCCAATCCCAGAAAATAAAATGACCCAAAAATCAAGAAACTATCAAATGAGGGAAAATATTTGGTCCAGGTAGATTCACAGTAGAATTCTACTTAACATTTAAATAATAATTAATTTCTCTATATTACACAAAATTATTCTCAAAAATTGGGAAAACAATCTACCAAACTGCTTTGATAAGACAGATATAGTCCAAGTACCTAAACCAGTAAAGAATAAAGCAAAGAAATAGAACAATAAGACCAATATAATTCATCAACATTGGTATAGAAATTAATAAAATCTTAGCAAAAACCTACAGCAACAGATCTAATCAATTACTCATTATTTCAAGGCTGAATTTGTACGATGAATGCAGTATGATTCAACATTATAAAAATAATTAAAATAAATTCTTCTTTTAAGACACCCAAACAATGTGACCACTACATCCACAGATGCAGAAAAAGCCTTTGACAAAGCATCACACTCATTTGAGCTTTTGGGGAAAAAAACCTTATAGATCACATATTTTTAACATAAAAATAAATCTAAAACCAAAGGCTAGGATTACATATAATGAACAAACAAATATCAGAACTTTTCTCAATGAATACAAAAGTGAAATAAGGATGCCCCTTCTTCCTACTGTTGGCACAATTCTAGAAATGCTAGTGATAGGAATGAGATAAGAAAAAAAAAAGATATAAATATTTAAGAGAGAGAAAAATATCCCTATTTGATAATGACCATGATGGGTTATTTTTTTTTTCATTTTGTTTTGTTTTGTTTTGAGGAAGCTAGGTAGCTCAATGGATAGGGTACTGCGCCTGGAGTCAGGAAGACCTGAGTTCAAATATAGCCTCAGATACCTACTTGCTGTGCCACCCTGGGCAAGCCACTAAACCTCAGTTTGCTTTAATTCACTGGAGAAGGAAATGGCAAGCCTCTGCAGTATCCTTGCCAAGAAAACCCTATTAACAGTATTGGCATGCCATGGTCCACGGGGTCACAAAGAATCAGACACAACTGAATGACTGAACAATGATGACAGTATAATGGGTTATCTAGAAAATCCTAGACAATCAGAAAAGAAACTAATAGAGCAAGAATTCTAGTAAAATAGTAGTAGACAAATTAAATTCACAATAGTCATCAACATTTCTGGGCACTCAAACAAATCTGCAATTCCATAATTCAGGAGTTCCCTCCCATGATGAGATCACAACTACCTATAATTGCCCTCATGTGCCACTCTCATTCATCTTCTCCCAAAAGTTTGCCATGGGTTGTCCATCCAACATGCTGAAGGCTTTCCTCCCTTTCAAAACTATAGGGGAACCAGTGGAACGCTCTGGTTGTCCCTGTTATGCCTCACTCTAGCCACAAGACCTATTCTTTTTGTTATACAATTCTTTGATAAATCACAGCCTGCTCACACCCACCATGCATCTCTCTACTGCCCCGTTTGATATCCATGTGTAGTTCTTCAAGAAAGGGGCATTTCATGGCTCACCGTCATGCAACAATAGCAGTGAAATGTTAATATTGAAAAGATGAGCCTTTGCTTTTCTGGGAATTTTGGGGTCAGTAAAAAAGTTCTGTAATTTCCCAAAAATCGATAGAGCCCACTCACCTCCTTTTCAACCCTGGACCCAGATTACCACTCATCGGCACTGCCTGTCCCAGTTCTACAAACCGCGTGGACAAACTCTACTGTGTGTCCAACTACATGGATTTTGAAATCTGGTCAATAAATTCTTTCAGATTAAATTGGAGGAATGTTTGGATGTTTTCAGAGCACATAATAAACAGGCTAAAGCTTACAGAAATATTTTTCAAACAAAAAGATGTCACTTTACCACATCCCAGCCATTTCACCAGAGCCCTTATCTTGAACCATCTCTACCCTTCTGGAAATTTAGACTCCACCTGTGGGCTCTTCCCCATTCTAACAGGTGAGCATATGCCTTCTCTTGCAGGGCCCGGACTTCCATGATTGTTCTCAGATGACTCCTTACTATACGCCCACTTTCCTCCACCTCACTTTCTACTATCCTCTCATGTATCTTTCTCTATTAAAATGTAAGCTCTTTAAGAACAGAAGCTGCTTTGCTTGCATCTGTATCAATAGCACTTAGCACAGTGCCTGTCACATAGCACACAAGTACTTAAGAAATGCTTTATCTACTTCTCTACTTCACCACAAAAAAATGGTAAAAGGCTGACAATAAAAGAACTGCCAGCTATAACGAAGTGGCTTATTTCCAGCTATAACTTAAAGAATAGCTAAGTTGTAAGAACAGAATGAAAAACTGGGCAGCATCCACATGAACCCCATAAAATGTCAACAAAGAAGCATCAAACCAATGACTGAGACACTGAGATTTGCAGATAGAAATAGAATGGTTATCAAAAACTTAAGATTATATCACCATCTTTAGAAATTATAAAAAGGTTATTGTTAAGGAATCCAGACATTGATCAATAAGGAGTACGTAATGAATCTGTAAAAATCATTCGTTGTATCATTTTGCGGGTTGTGGAATTTTAGCACTATTGAATATCTACAAATACACGATTAGGTGGCAAGAATTATTCACCAGAAACTCACTATCCTTCACAAACTACCATACAACAAGTCTGGGTACTACAAATATACTCTAAACTATGCTTGAGAAAATAATAAACCAACTCCTGGGAAAAAAAGTGGTATCCCAGAGAAAACTATGGCCACTGTACAAGGGGTAGGCCAGAATGGGAACATGGCCTATGACTCCACAGAAAAACGTAAACTACCTTGAGTAAATGTAAACAGCAAAAGAAGCTCCAACTATCCCAGAAGAAAACTTGCACATGACCCCGGGCCATCTAGTCACTATGTCTTCTTTGTTCTGTGTCAATCCCACTAACCCTAATAAAACCTACTAATAAACAAACTAGTACAAAACCTCTTTCTTTAGTATGTCAGTATTCTCTCAGAGGGTATGCCACCCTACAACTGGCATAATTAGAACAAGAGAGTCTGTCCCCTTACAATCACCCAAACACAACATTAATCTACAAAAATTTAAGTAAATGTTTTTAGTAGATGCTGCCATGCCAAATATTCATAATCTCCAATCAACAAAGAATAAAAAACCTTCAAAATATAGAGATCTAGCAGAGGAAATCAAAACTATATGCAAACAGGCTACAGATCAGCCTTAATCCCATATTTCTATTGGAGATATCCTGAAAATGCTTTCAGCAAACCTGCAGAAGTTAAGCTTATGTCCCAATTTAAAAAAAATGGTTAGTGCATGTAGTAAGCACTATATAAATGTTTGCTATTATTATTATGTTATCTTACCCATCTGTACAATGGACACAGAATATTAAACATAGAAAATAATATTAGCAACGTGTCCCAGGACAGTTTTTATCTGAATTCTAACAAGATGAGCATAAGATATTAACAATAATAATTTGCATTTACATACTTCTTTCTAAGGTTTACAAAACATTTCCCTCATACCAGGCCTGTGAGGCAGGCGGTATGTGTATCGTGCTCATTTTATAAAAAGGAAAGCTTTTTTACAACTCAGAGAGGTTAAATGACTTGCCCACAGTTACACAACTAGTAAGATTCAGAGCTGGAATTACTAAGTGGAAATCTCACTCATCTTATACTACGAAAATACATATAAAATCTTGAAAGATATCTGAAATCATTAAAATTCCCGTTGTTGATCAGTAGACCATATTCAATATAATTGAAAGAAGTCACTTAAACCAGTGTGCCTCGATTTCCCCATTTGTAAAATGGGGATAAAAATAGTGCCTACCTCCCCATGGTTGTTGTGAGGTGTGTGATAATACTGGTATGATAATAATAATAATATGCTTTGCAAATCTTAAAGCACTATATAAAGGCTAGCCATTATCATCATTATGCTTAATAATGAAAAACTTGCCCGTTCCTTGGAGCCATACAACTAGCAGTATCTTTAAATTTTAATTCTGCGTTAAAGAGGCACGTTTTATTCTTGATTACTTTCCTCTTAATACGCCAGAAAGACAGCTCAAACCCAAGGGTGTGAGCGGGACCTAGAAACTTAAGATCTAAGTTAATTTGATTTTGTAAAACGCAAGGATGGATTGCCAAATACTCCCTAAGGCCTACGAGCACTTGAGTAAAAACAAATTCCTGGGTCCTTTTACCTTTGGCAACCGCAGTACGGAAAACTAACTAACACTGTCAAGTTGAAGGGCTGGTGCATATCTGCATGGGGAGAGAGTGTGAACCCAGGGAATTTCCCCAATGAAATCGCAGGTCCTGTCCTAACAACAACAACAAAGCAGTACAGAGCAGGCACAGACATGAAGAAGACCAGTAAAGAAAGGTCTGATCCAAAAGCTGATGCTTCCCAAGCACAGCAACGTAGCTACGGACAGAAAAACAAAAAGGGCTGAACAGCTCGCCTTAACTGCCCAAGTAATGCAATACTTCACGTTAGAAACAGAGCGAACTACAACTCCCAGCGGGCAGTGCGGCGTACGGAGGACTGCAAGGCAGGATGGGACCTTAAAGGGACTCCAGAATCGAAGAGAATGTAGCCCGAGAGACTGCAACTCCCATGAGGCAGTGCAAACAGACGGAGGTTCCGGTTCTCCAAGTTAAGCGCAACGTTAACTGCAATTAGAGCTCCAGTTCTCCTCTCCGCTCTTTGCGATGACAGAGAATAGCTTCCCTGGTGAAAAGCAAGCAGCCGCAACTTCCCCTCTTACCCGACTTAGAAAGTAGTGATCTTCCTCGCCTAGGTTTGTCCTTCGCTCAGTCAACACCAGCTAAAGCGTCTATAAGCCGCCAGCTGTTTTGGGTGTCCTAGCAACCAGTCGGAGCTTCGATAGGCTAAACCAACTCTCGCGAGAACGAGAAAAGCCAAATGGGGGAGGAGCTGAAATGAAAGTGGGTGGTGTCAAGCGTCGAGAAAAGTTGAGATTGACAGGTCAGGGGAAAGGAATCTGGAGAAACATCAAAAGGGACAAGGCTGTAACCTTCTTAGAGACAGAAAATAAATTGGCTTGTGGGCCTTTGTACAATTCCCAAATAGCATAAACATCAAAAAACAAAGCTTACCGCAATTTAATATCGTGTGTGTCCAGATATGAATGTTCTTTCCTTTCACTGGGGCATTTTATGCCTTCTGTCACACAGAATGCCTTTAAAACAAAAAAGCTGGATGCAAAGTGAAATGAGCAGAAACCGAGAACACTGTACACAATAACAGCAATACTGTAATGATGATCAATCGTGAAAGACTTAGCTACTCTGTTCAAGACATTTCCAAAGGACCCGTGATGAAAAATGCTATGTACCTCCAGAGAGAGAGAGATTTGATGAACTCTGAGTGTAGATTGAAGCATACTTTTTTCACTTTATTTAGAGAGGTATTAAGTTCCTCTTACTTAGCAACAATATTTTACTCACTGTGACGCATGTGGATATGAAGAACAGCCTATATGACATTTTATGGCACTATAATATTAGCAGTGCAAATCAACTCATGTACCACCTTCCTTAAATTTACAGAAAGGTGGTGTATTACTACATTAGTAATCTAGGGAGGGAATATAATATCTAAATTGTGCACCGAGTGGTGCTCAAATCACCTGCCAAGTGGCCCTGTCAATAGTCTGGCCTGAATGCAAGAGGACTGCCCATGCCTCCAAATCTCATGGTTACAAGCCAGTTTGAACACGTTAAAACTTTTGCTGGCTAGATTCTGAACTTAGATAGTTGAAGAAATATTGTTCAGGAGTGGTTAAAAACTAGAAAATCTATGGCTCTACCCTATCTTTGATCTACGTTCGCAGATCACAAGCAATTGGCATATTGTAACCTTGTTGTTTATCAAGCAATGCAAAAATGCAAGAAAAACGTGTTAGGCACTTCCACCTGAAGCCCTCCTTTTAACAGTCTCCTGCAACTCTTCTTGATCACCCTCCCTACTCTTGAGTACAGCCAGAAATTTCCAAACCACACTTCACTGATAAATGGGGAAGGAACAATGAGGGAGATGAGGGAATCCAGAGCTTGAATTCTGGCAATAATCAGCAGTGAGTTTTCTTTGTCCCCAAATTATAATCCCCAGGCACTGAAATAAACACTGAAATAAACCCCCAATGATAATCTCCAGGCCCTGAACAAATAATGTCTCAGAGCCAATAAAGGCATAGAGTAAGCACAGGTTACCACAGTATTTTCCTCAACTTGGAAACAGTTTAGGGCTCAGGAAAGGAGTGGAAAAAGATTTGGGGCACTGGGAAGGGAGTAATGGGAGAAAAATGAGAAGGTACTCAGAAGGAAAACCCTATGCAGAGGCAGACCATTATGTCTCTTCCACTTTTAGAAAGTTTCCCATAGAGACTATCAATACAACTCCAGTTTCTGAATAACCTGCCTACCAGACCTTCCTCAAATTCAATATTCCATCTGTCATTGCGCAGAATCACTTCCATACCTATACCAAACTCCCTCCTCATCCACTCAGATTCCATATCTTAAGTGATGTCTTTCCTGATCCCAATCATTAGTACTCTCTCCCTTTGCCAAATTATCTTGTATTTACTTATCATTATGCATATTATATCCCACCCCCAAGTAGAACGATAACAGGGAATTTTTTTTTTTGTATCCTGAGCATCTAGAGCACACAGTGCCTTGTAGACAGTAGGCCTGACCTGCTTGGTTTAATTAAATTGGTTTTAAATTTAATTTTGATTTAATTAATACTAATAAAAATAATCATTACATTTAATATAATGAATTATCTTCTTAGGCTGATTGCTTCATATAGATGAAAAGAGTAATGGCACCATGGCAAAATCCAATAGTATTAACTTTTTTATTTTACTGGCTACAAAAAAAAGACACATGATACTAATGTTTTCAATTAATGAGATTGCACCATTTCATTCTAAAGCAATGGAACATTCTTACTAAGATGCAAGATTTATCCATAAAATATATGGAAATGCCAAGCTGAAGAAAATTGAGAATGGATTTGAGAATTTGCAATGTTCCAATCGTAAAAATAGAAAAGAAATTTTTATGGGATCATTTTTACTTTTCACAATATAATTATTATCTATTTCATATTTATTTAGAATTCAATATAAAACCATTGCTCTTATTTTTCGTGCAACGCTTAACACTATTCACCTTTATCCATCTTGGCTTTTATTTTTTAATACAAAAAAAAGCTTTTGTTTACTGTTTTAACTCCATTATCAACTGCCATCTAGTGGCTTTATCAGAAGAATGCTATGAAGTACTCATAGTTTGTTCCTTTTGGCTAGGCTAATCAATAACATTTACTAAGTGCCTATCATGTGTCAAACATTAAAGCTAAATGCTAGTGATAACAAAAAAGGCCCCCAAAATGCATGTTTTAGATTGACAGGGGTTCTCAACCTCAGATCTGTAAACTTTTTTTCTTAATATGTTTTAATAGCTTTGTTGTTGTTGTTGTTCAGTCATTTCAGTTGTGTCCAGCTCTTCATGACTCCATTTTGGGGTTTTCTTGGCCAAGATTCTGGAGTAGTTTGCCATTTCCTTCTCTAGCTCATTTTCAGATAAGGAAACTGAGGCAAAGAGATTTAAGTGACTTGCCCAGGGTCACACAGCTAGTAAGAATCTGAGACTTGATTTGAACTTACAAAGATGATTCTTCCAGATGCCAGGCCCAGCACTCTGTTGATATAGCACTCTGCACCACCTAGCTGTCATGTTAACTTTATTTCAACATAACTAATTTCCTTTCTAATTCTTTGTAACATGTAAGAGGCGAGTGAGCATGACTACTGTATGTTTTGAGGAGTTCTACCCATGATAAAGTCACCTTGAACACACACCAAGGAAACAGAATTTTTGTTTGCTTCTGCTTTACTTCCCTCATTGTTGATGACAACCAGATGAACAAGAATGATTCTTAAAAGAGACCTCCACCATCTTACAGATTTTCCCCCATATGGAGAGTTCTAATAAGATTAAGTACAAAGAAATTTATTTTCTTTTTTTTTTTTGGGAGGGGGCTTCTTATCTGATTTTTTCTTTTTTCTTTTTTTAATCAATTAATTTTTTTTTAGTTTTCAACAATCACTTCCATAAGCTTTTGAGTTTCACATTTTCTCCCCCTCCTTCTCCACCTCCCTCCCCAAGATGTTGTGCAATCTGATACAGGCTCTCTCTCTCTCTCTCTCTCTCTCTCTCTCTCTCTCTCTCTCTCTCTCTCTCTCTCTCTCTCTCTATATATATATATATATATATATATATATATATATATATATATATATATATATATATGCTCTTATTAAACATATTTTCACATTAGTCATGTTGTAATGAATAATTAGAACCAATAGGAAGAACCTCAAGAAAGAAGAAACAAAACAAAAGAAAAAAAGGGGCAGATAGTATGCTTCAATCTGCATTCAAACTCCATAGTTCTTTCTCTGCATGTGGATAGCATTTTTCATCATGAGACTTTTGGAAATGTCTTAGATCCTTGCATTGCTGAGAAAGGCTAAGTCTATCAAAGTTAGTTGTCATACAACATGGCTGTTACTGTGTACAACGTTCTCCTGGTTCTGCTCACTTCACTCAGCATTAGTCCATAAAAGTCTTTCCAGGATTTTCTGAAGTCTGCTTGTTCATCATTTCTTATAGCACAATAGTATTCCATTACATTCATGTAACACAACTTGTTCAGCCATTCCTCAACTGATGGGCATCCCCTCAATTTCCAATTCTTTGCCACCACAGAAAGAGCTGCTATAAATATTTTTGTACATGTGGGTCCTTTTCCCATTTTTATTATCTCTTTGGGATACAGTCCTAGAAGTGCTATTGCTGGGTCAGAGAAATTTATTTTCAACAGGAACAAACTTGACCTTTAGCAACTCCTGTGACTCTGAGACTTATATACTTCCTCATTCCTTTCTACCACAGAATGCCATTGGTTGGCTGTGTACAAGTAAGGCTAAAAGCTATGAAAACCCAGTCTAAACCCTAAGAAGCTAAAGTTCCTGCCAGCCCAAGCAGCTCTTTGTGCACTAAGATATTTATTTTCCTTTCAGTCTGGCTATGTGTTTCTTGACCCTGTTAGTCTTGAAGACCTGATGGTGGATGAGATTCTCCTTAAGTTCTAAGATTAGGCCTAGTGGTCTTCAGACCACCATGACAGTTTCTTCTTAAGGGACACTATAGCTCGTAGAACCTATTCGTGGAAGAATACTGACAATATTTTTTAAGGTTAGTGCAGCTGTGTATCCAAAAACAAAATGCAGTATTGTTCACTTAAAGTAAAACTAGAAAGGCGATAGAGCAGATAGAGAGCTGGCCGCAGAAGAAGACCTGAGCTCAAATCCCACCTTTGACACAATTGGCTATGTGACCCTGGACAAATGACAGAACTATATCAATAAAGGGAATTTCCTTGTTATGAGTTCCCTTCAATGATGAAATCCCATACCTGGACCACAAAAAAAAAGCCTATAATATTTATATGACCTCTCTCTATGGGCTTACTCCCTCATCTAGCATTGGCATGTTAGGTCCCCAAAGGGTAGCTACTGCCTTAAGTTCTGAGGGTAATTAATCCTACTACTGTAGTTCATGAGTCCCCTATCAGCAAGCAGGCTTAATTATTATTTAACAAAGACATTTACAAAAGACTATAGAGTAAGGTCGGTTGCTACAAAATATTCCCCCACCCCGAAAAGCCTATGGTACTCTCCCATAAATACACACAGCCTCCATGAGATTTCACTCAAACTTGGAGCGCAATGGTCCTGAAACACACAATTGGGTAAATATGTGTCAAAGGTAACTCACAATTCCCAATACTGTCGGGCCTGGAAATTCTCTCCATACAATGTCCTCACCCAGCTACTCTTAAAGAGAGCATCACTGCAAGGCAGGCTGCTTAGCTGCCTCCCACGATG